TTGGAAGCTTTTTTTTGCTGATGTTTCTATATCTCTCTCTGCTTTTTGCAACAGCCGACTTGGATGAATGGGTTTTTGCTCTGGAAACATTTTTATTGCCTTCTGGTTCGCCCGAATGTTTTTACATACTAGCTCTTGAAAAAAAATGTTTTATTGTATCGTTACTTCCTTCTGCAAGATAGATAACCATCATATAAATAAATTAAACCAATTATTACTTTCACCTAAAGCGAACAATTTACGATACTCATCCGTACTGGTCCAGTTTTAATTATATTATTCGAGTGAATCGTTTATGTTTATGTGGATCATGAACGATCCGTACCAGAGATAAACTGACATCTGGATCAAAATTTAGTCGTGTGTCACGATGAAAATTACAGAAAGCTCGACCTGCATCACATCGATGCGCATTAATTCCATGGTCCTTTTTGCTCGCTAAAATGTCAGATCCATTACCGGGAGCCATTAGAAAATTATCTTCCGCCTGAAGCATGTATTCATGTATTAGATATGTGTAGACGCGAATTTACGCTCCTTTTACATTAGCGTGAATCAGTCGACAGAGGAAAGTCAAAACTACCCTTATCAGCACACGTTTGGGAAGTCGTCAGAATCATACCTCGGGGGATGACTTGCGTCAATCGCGGCGCGTAGATTTCACATCATTTTATAGTCGCATAACATCATTTGAAATTTGAGGAAAAATATATTCAATTAGGTAAAATAAATATGATTATCTTTCACGTGTATTAGAAGGATAAAGGTACTCAAAATTAATTTTTGCATCAATATTAGTGGCTTCTTGTTTATAGTTCAGTTTTTACTTGTCCAACTTCTGCTTCCTTGCGCTTGTATGCTAATATATATTCCATCTAATATCCTTTACACTCATATTTAGTACAGTTCTTTTTCACTTTGATGTGTTTTATTTATTACCATCTTATATAACTTTTCGTATAACAAAGGCAAAATTATCTGCTATCTGTTCAAGACGTTTATCTGCATCGGACATATTTTTTAACTTTTCGTAAAAGGCCTTCTAGACGACCTCATAAGTCCATTGCGCAATTTATTCGCACGGTCGATCTTCGTTATACAATTCATGTTCATGATATCATCCCACGCTGTACAGACAGCGTGGTATAGAGAGTAAATACAGTCGCTCAGGGTTAGAGTTGACTAAATATGAGCAATGCGACGACAACTTTATATAAAGTGGGTATTGATGGCACTAAAACGCTGTCATATACGACATGTACAAGTGCTTTGGTCGTGAGAGAGAGAAAGATTTCCGAATGCTCTTAGTTCCAGATACAACACAAATCAGCATATAAAATCAAATAGTAAATGTGTTTTTTATTGTAAGCTTTGAAAAAGTCGAATATTACCTCGAAAACCACTAATCTTAACGTGTATTTAATATTAATTCTGAGAACGATTCAAAATTAATCATCGGAATTTAATTTGTTTCACAAAGTCCTCTGGGTCGCCTTTATTTCATTATAAACCGGATTGCGAGCCCAAGATGTTCGTTTTGATGTTTAATCACACAAACGCGGCGTTACCTCTCGTGTTTTATGATGCGTAATTGCTGCTCCAATGTAAAAGATTCGATTACAAGATTGCGTATGCGGTTATTGATTAATTATGGAATGCTATTAAAACATAACGTTCTTATCGATTTTTTACTTTTGTTAGTGAAATTTGTTAACATCATGTGATGCATCATTGTCCAATGTTAATTACTACATAACGGTGGGATAATTATATAAGAAATGACATTTTAGAAAATGTAGTTTCTTGAAACTGAGATTGGAACATAAATCATAATCTGATGTGCACATGCTATTACACGATTAAAAGTCATATTATGTTGCAAAACCGGCATGTCGTTTATTTTCCGCGGACTGTGAGTTGTGTGGATCTCATAGATCGCAATCAGTGCCAATTTGAATCAGTTCACCTCGAGACCGCGGGGAACTGCTATGCTAATTCGTTTTTGTGTTATAATATTATTCTACATAATAAATTATGAAAAGCGTTCGAAATCCATTACAACGTTCGCACAATATATTTCACAAAGTCACTTTGTTACCTTTTTCGCATCGACTACACGTTTCTCTGCATTCGTTCTTGTTGCCATAATAGATTAGAGCACGACGGGTGTGAATTTAAAATATTATCAATATATTTTTTGCTTGTCTATTTTTATGAACTTCCCATGGGATAAATTAATAATTTTTGCTTATTGTTAAAAGTCTTCAAATAAAAAAGTAACAAATAGTTGTATTATTAGTTTTTGCGAGAACTCGGCTGGAGATCATTGTATTGTCGTAGAGATCATGATTCACTTTCTGCCGGAGAGCCAACACAGTATCTTTGAACTGTTGCGAATACCATTGTGAGAGATGATGGCGTTTTAATAAAGTATTGAATTAACTATCATCCGATTTAATTAATGGAGAATTGGCACTAATGAAATGCGATGCCGAGCGAACGCTGTTCATAAATTCAGTCCGTCGAACCGAATTAAAGCCGACACTGACACAGGTGTTATAAGAAAAAAATACGCATTTGGAAATAATATGAATCGAATAGAATGTGAATAATCAAACATCATTTATCTTACAAAAGGCTATTGAGATAATTATTGACTTCGTGGAATAATAAAGTTATTAAGTATATTTTAATTAACTTCCAGTTGTAATCGGTTACAAGAATTTTTGAAACATAATTGTGTATTAAATTTTATATAGTTTATGAACCCGCATTAATGAATTCCAAGTTTATTTCTAAATTATCATTTATTAAGGATTAACTTCATCTATTTCTGAATATTAATAATTGCTTACTATATATATTTTGTCATTGAAAGTAAAAAATTAATTGTGTGCTTATATAATGTTCTTCGGAATGATATTGAATATTAATTTTGATGTTCAAGTTTATTAAATTTTAAACATTCAATACAAGTTATTTATTACTTTCACAAGCAAATATGAGATATATTTGAGGTATGAAACCGAAGTAACGAGTTCAGAAATTTAAGAGAAGAGAAAATCCATTGTCAAGACATTGTTGAAATATTTATGAAACCCCTGCTTACTTATTTATGTATGGGCGTTCTTTGATAAGAACAAGATTCCGAGCAAAAGCTCTGAAAATATTTGAACAAAATGAATAATAATAATGATAATAATATTTCCATCCCGCCTAGAGTCCTGAAATATTTCACGGTTGTCGGGCACAACGTATTAGAAAATCACATAATGGGTGATAACTGTTAAATAATTCCTATTAAACTTTTATATTCCATACAATAATATAAATTATGTTCGATAAAAATGTCATGCATAGGCGGACTTCTTTTATATACGAGCAAGTTTTATGTCCAGCATACGCCAGTGCCGGTCATCGATAATAATTTGTGTTTATAATTTATTGGTTTCTGATAAATGATATTCATAGCAAATCATGCGACAGCAAAATAGTAATAACTTATGAATTATTCACGACTGTAAATAATCGAATGAGAGTATTCAAATGACATGAGCTTTAATGAATAATATTTAAATGAATATAAATTATGAGACTTTGATCTAACCAAACGACTCAATCACGTCGTTAAGGATATTATTCTTGTTACATTTGTAAAGACAACTATCAACATTTACGTTGTTCGATTTGACCTTTGCTGTAGTTCTGGATTAAATATTTTAAATTGTCTAATTCTAATGGTTGAGGCCAAAACCTGACCAGTTTTTCTAATTCTAATAAATTATAATAAATCATGCTGTATCCCGAGTGCCAGTAACAGCAAGTTACCGCCGCCGTAGTTGAGGCCGCGGCAAGAAATGGCAACGCAAGAACCCGGCGTTCGGCTCTTTGGCGTACTATTATAAACGTAATATATAATAATAACCGATGCGAGGAACAGCTCACTGCGAAGGTCTTCAAATCGTAATTGCTGCCTTAATTACCGGTTTTACCAGTTGTTCTTCTCCAAGTTGGCATTCTGACGTTCCTGGCATGAGCTCCGAGGCAAGACGGGGTTCTTAGTTACTTCTACGACAAGGAAATGTGACAGCTCAGTTTATGCATTATTAAACCACGCAATCTATTGCGAAAAGTTACACGACGGAAAATTGAGATTCCACTTCCAATAACATTGAAAACTTTGCAGAAGGTTACAAGGAACATCTCAGAGCACATTAGTCATAATCGACTAATTATTAAATAAATTCCATAATTCATTTGAAATACCTATAGGGCAAGAAATCTTGCTTTGGATGCATTAATTCAATTCTTTTTTATTTTAAATTTTTGTATTAATTAATGGTCATATAATTTTATTTTATTTTGCCTTAATTCTTTGTTGCCTAATTACTCATTCCTTTGGAATATGAGCAATTAATCACAATGACTAAAATATTTTGAAATATTTCAAACTCGATTTATGTTGTTATTTCTCATGTGAATCAGTTTTCAATATTAATCAATAATTGTAACTGTTTAATTTAAAATAATGGCTTAATCTTATTAATTTTCAATTAATTAATATCATAATCATTCTTCAACCAACTTTTCAGTTATACGCTTGGGAATGTTTTTTATGACCTCGTTCCTCAGGTGTTTATTATAACGATGCACTATTCGACGCTTTTATTCACTGTTTCCTATTGCTCCGTTCAATTATAATTTTTCACCGTTATTTATTTAGTATAAGAATAAAATATATGTATATAAAAATATTAACACATTTTTGTGGCATTATTTTATTTGCCGTTCGCCAGGTTTATAAACCTGTTATTCAAAGAAAGAGTGTATGTATAATGAATAATCATCAATATATGCAGCCACGAATATTCTTATTATTCGGAAGTTGAATAAATTAAATATTTTAATAAGCGATCATTTATTAGTATTATTTGTTTTAAATTATATTTAATAATAACATTTAAATATAACTGTAAGCTAATGTTCTTTTTTATTTTCAGATCCTTCTCATTCAAGATGCTTCGTGCAGTAAATTTCTACACGCTTTTCCTGCTGCTTACTCTAGTCCTTCTGCCCGGTACCTTGTCCTTGGCAAACTGTCCAGCCGGTTGTGATTGCGACGATGATACACTGGTGGTACAGTGCGACGAAAGTCGTCTGGATGTTCTTCCCATTGCCTTAAATCCATCAATCCAACGTTTGGTCATACGAAATAACAAGATCAAAACGGTTGATAGCAGTATTCAGTTCTACGCAGAGCTACATTTCTTGGATTTGTCTTCTAATCATCTCCTGAATATTCCGCCGAAGACTTTCGATCATCAGCACAAATTACAAGAATTGCATCTCAATCACAATAAGATCTCGATGGTACATAACAAGACATTCCAGGGATTGAATTCGTTGACGGTAAGTTTGATTTTTTTAAATTATCATCATTTTTAATTATTAATCAATTCTCAATTAATTTGTTCTGTAACGTGTAATTAATAAAGATTTTATATTTCAGGTTTTAAACTTGCGAGAGAATATCATTGAAGAGCTAGGTCCAAGTGTCTTTGGAGTTCTTCCGAGGCTAGAAGAACTAAATCTTGGGCAAAATCGGTTGACTAAAATCGATCCGCAAGCATTCAATGGATTGATGTCTTTACGTGTCCTTTATCTTGATGACAATCAATTGACATCTGTGCCAACGGCAAGTTTCCAGTTTTTACCCGGTTTAGCTGAGCTACATGTGGGTTTGAATAGCTTTTCGATGCTTCCTGAAGATGCTTTCAAAGGTTTGCAAAAACTATCAGTGTTGGATGTCCGTGGCGCTGCTCTTACTAATGTCTCCGCTGGTGCTTTTAATGGACTCGCAGCATTGAGGTCACTAGATCTTTCTGGAAACAGTTTGTCGGTGATACCTACGCAAGAATTATCCGGTCTTGTACGATTGGAAACACTTAGCTTAGGACAAAATCAATTTGAAACTATTCCTGCTCGAGCTTTCCGGGGATTGGTTAATCTGCGGCGTTTAGATATTACAGCAGCTCAAAATCTCAAACGAGTTGAACGAGATGCTTTTGCTGATAATTTAAATCTTGAAAATTTAATTCTGGCCAGTAATAAACGCTTATCCGTAATAGAAGACGGATCTTTGGCAGGTTTGCCGAATCTTAAACACTTGGTCCTAAAAGAAAACGCTTTCGAAAGCTTTCCAGAGAGTTTATTATCATGGAGTGAACTTAAACGTTTAGAATTAACAGATAATCCTTTGCTTTGTGATTGTGCACTCCTGTGGCTGAGGGAATTGTTAGCCGAACGAAATTTTACTAGTGCACAGTGCCATGGACCAAAACACGTTCGTGAAAGGCATTTACGAACGGTATCTGCCGAAGAACTTGGATGCGCCAGGACGGATCCAAGGCAGCAAGCCATTGTCGGAGCTATAGTCGTTGGAGGTGCAGCATTATTGACAGCGCTGTTGTTATTATTGTACAGATACAGGCGCAGAGTACAAGAAGCACTCAAAGACTACCGTCTGGGTCAGCGTTCTGCAATGAGCCGCAAAGAGCATGAATATCAGAAGACATTTTCAGAAGATGAATATGCAGCGGCTCGCCGCTACCCTCAATTGCCACCACCCCCGATTCACAGGCCAGTTCCGGTGACGGAACTATAGCAGCTAGATATGTACGGGCCGCCTCCAGAAGTGTTCTGCGTCGGAGGTCCGCCCGTACATGGAAACAGCAACGGCAACGGTGTTGGCCATACAGGCAATGGCCATCATTCGTTAACCGCCGCTCGTAGACCGCCATCGCACCTGCATAGCTTGGCGTCCAGCGGCGGCACGTTGCCGGCTAATGGATTTTCGTATTACGAAGGCGTGCATTCCAATTCACATGGACTACCGCCGCGTCGGCATTTGGCGTGCGGGCGCCATCCGCCGCCACTGCCGCCTTTGCCGCCGATGGCGACGGAGAATGAATATAGTGTAATTCAGCCAGTTCACGCCTATCGTTAATATGCATTTGCAGCTGATATCTTGAAGAGCAATATTATTAATACGAAAATTCTCGATAAAAGTAAATACGAAAGCATTCCGTTTTAAACAGTGTGCCTGTGTGTAATGTGTACATGTGAATAACAAAGACTTGCAATAGACTGAAGTGTGAAATGATGTTGTTGAATTGGTTAGATTTAGTAATAAGTGATGAAAAATAGACTATAAAATGTATTATATAAATCGATATTTTAATGTGCTCTATTTATCTGGAATATATTGGAGCATAAAAAAGACGAAATGGAAACGTTTCGAAATTTTGTACATATGTATTTTTATTATATGCATTATTTTTAATTTTTAAGATTTGTATAAAATATATTAATATTTATTATGCTCTTAAATATAGGTTGATAAGGCCATTATTTAGATCATAATGAATACCAAAATGTAATTGAAACCAGTAATATGGTCTCAAAAATGTGCGCAACTTTGTAAATATTTCATAAATTAGGAAAGCACACGATATCAAAACATTTGTAAAGTCTTAGGTTAAAAAACAAATACTATTCAAAGAAACTGTACTATTTATTCTAAATTATATAAATTAAACACATATAAATATATAAAAACATAAAATATATAAATACATTAATTTTCTTTATCCATTTACATATTTCATATGCAATGTTGATTTATCACTTTGAAACGCTCTACATGTAAATTTATATCAAAGTTGAGAGCAAATACTTTTATATTGAGATGTAATACATTGTATTAAATTATATTCTTTATTTTTAAAGTATACAGGCACAATATTTATTGGTTGTAACTCAATAGCGATCTAGTCAACAACAATTAAAGGTCAGAATTTTAAATAAATGAATTCTTTATTTTAAGCAATGTTGCTATTTGTAATATTTGAAATAACATAAATGTAGTAATGTATATGGACAAAGGATAATCTATGATAATTAGTAAATGAAATCTTTCAATTTGATTCAAATAAAACACCATGAAATAGAACCGTATTTATTTTTTATAAATATGTTTTTATAAACATAATGCATTCATTTCAGGTACCTTTTCAGGTTGCATCAATAATGAGTTAGAGTTATCAGTAATGAATTTGACAAATGATACTTTATTATTAGTAATATATCATTATTAGTATTCTGTTCAAAGGCAGCTCCTTTCAATTTTTATTTATTTTCGTACAGAAATAGTGTAAAAATAGGTGCCACCTGTGCAAAACCATTCCAAACTTGGGGTTGCACCGGTTCTGAGTCAGATATCGTACCTAAAAATATATCTATTACATTTATATATAAGTGAAAAATATACCTGTACACACCCATGTGCACTGTTTATGCAAGACGTCGTGACAGAATCTTTTTGGATTTTATGGAAGATTAATATATAATTATATATATATATATATAATTACACTATACTAGAACAACACAACAATTTTCACATTGAACACAATAGAAAGAAGAATTTCAGAGAAAATGTCATATGGAGTGCCAGCAAAACATATAACGAATTGCCAAACAATATTAAGATGACCAAAGATGACGATAAATTTAAAAGAAAAATAAAAAAACACTATAAGGAAATTGAAGACCAAGAAGACTGAAGAGTGATATATAAAGATATTTTTAGTTATATATAGATATTATATTAATGAAATAGATTATTATAGTCAAATGAAATGTATATATTATATGAAAACTGTTTTCATAATCTCTCATACCAGGCAACTCTGCCTGACTGAGATATGAAAATAATGTATATATATATATAAAAAATAAAAAAAATAAAAAAAAAAATATATATATATATATATATATATATATATATATTAATTCATATACAGCTAGGTGAATTGAATCATCTTGGTTTTTGAGTAAAATTGTTATATGTATTTGAATGATCCGATTTTGATGAAATATATAAATGTACATATATTAATTTATAAATGATTATATGTGTTAGAATCGTTTAGATTGCACTTAGAATTAATATAAATATATATGTATATATTGGTTTATTCACGACTAGATGTATTTGAATTATTCCGATATTTATTGAAAATCAATTTATAAATGTATATATTAATTCATATACCCCTAAATGAGTTTGAATCATTTAAATTTTTAACTAAAATTGTTATGTTAATGTATATTTTGATTATATTATGACTAAATGCTTTCAAAAAGAATCGGTACTTGTGGAAAATCATAGGATAGGATAGATGTGTTTAAATCATCTCGGTTTTGCTCAAAATTATTATATAAATGTATATATTGATTTATGAATGATTTCGGTATTTATGGATATATGCAAATGTGTATATATTCACATAAAAAAATCTAATAAGATTCCACTTGCGGCTGGCCACGTCACGCCGTTAGCGAACTTAAAGTAACGGTTATTTAACGGCAGTCGTTTTCAAGATGGTAACGCTGTCAAATTCATGATCTAGTAGCAGCTATCTTCATTGTGAATTCACGCCTGCGGAACATTTCTCGATTAATTAATATTCTTTTGTAGATTTAACTAAATCTCAATTAAAAAAATACTTATCAGCATTGTGTTAACGAATTTGCAATAATTGAAAGTAAATACATGTAAGAAACAAATTTTACTAACTTTTTTTGTTTCATCATTGATTTAGTCAATAAATTTTAGGTTAAGCATGATTTTTTTGTGATAGTTTCATATTTGTGCAAAAATACTTTTTTCGAGTATGATTGGCATTCATTTCGTTTTTATTATTTAATTAGATAACTTTGCACCATGGCTGCAGCATTATTTAATCGAATTGGTCAGTTGGGACTTGGGCTTGCAGTTGTAGGCGGCGTTGTAAATTCAGCTTTATATAATGGTAATCATTTTTAAATAGTTGTATAAAGTATTTCTGGTGTTTAATACGCTTTTGACACAAATTAATAGTCGATGGAGGACACAGAGCCGTGATATTTGACAGGTTTTCGGGAATTAAAAATAGTGTTGTTGGAGAAGGAACACATTTTTTCATTCCATGGGTGCAAAGGCCAATCATTTTTGATATCAGATCACAACCTCGTAATGTCCCAGTTGTTACGGGCAGCAAAGGTATGCTTATTATCATGAATCACTCAGTTTTGTATAATTTGACTAATTATAATCTTTGAATGATTTCAGATCTTCAAAATGTAAACATCACTTTACGTATTTTATTCAGACCTAAACCTGATCAATTGCCAAAAATCTATACTATACTAGGTATTGATTATGATGACAGAGTTCTTCCATCTATCACAACTGAAGTCTTGAAAGCAGTAGTTGCACAATTTGATGCAGGAGAATTGATTACCCAAAGAGAGGTAATTTTATATTTAATCAATATTTTATTAATATTTCATCTTCCAATTATTTTTCAAGTTATGCTTATGCTAATTGCCTTTCAATTCTGTTTCTAGTTGGTTTCCCAAAAAGTAAGTGAAGATTTAACAGAACGAGCAGCACAATTTGGGGTTATTTTGGATGATATCTCTATTACACATTTGACCTTTGGTAAAGAATTCACACATGCCGTTGAATTGAAACAAGTTGCACAACAAGAAGCTGAAAAGGCTAGATTCTTAGTAGAAAAGGCTGAACAACAGAAAAAGGTAGTTTGTCTAGTACAATTTTAATAAATATTTATCTTTGATCAAAGAAAAGTTGAAAAGAATGAAGATAAGTTATCAAAATATTTTATTTGTAGGCTGCTGTCATCAGCGCTGAGGGAGATGCCCAAGCTGCCTTGCTGTTGTCAAAATCTTTAGCTGAAGCTGGTGATGGTTTAGTTGAGCTTCGTCGTATTGAAGCAGCTGAAGATATTGCTTATCAATTATCAAGATCTAGGCAAGTGTCATATATTCCAACTACAGGCCAAAACTTCTTGTTAAACCTACCTCAATAAATTACATGTTACTTTTATTGTGAGTCTTAAATTTTATATTATTTAGCATACAAAAAATAGATATATGTACTGGTTATTCATTTTACATAAAAAGTTTAACAAAGGTTAAATGACTTTGATTTAATTAAATAAAAATGTTCTTTCTATGATTTCTATGTATTTTTTTTCTCTCATTTTAAAATTATTTGTAATTTCAAGCATACACATTATGAAATCATAATCTATTAGTTAAAATTGTAGACACTTAAGGTAATAAAAACAATGCAGAAAAGTAAATTTATCAGAAAAAAAATATTACTGTAAATCACTGGTTCGTTTTCAAAAAAAAATTTGTGCAGTACAACAAAATTTATTTTGGAGATTGTGGAAAATTGCTGGACGATTTTGTTTTTAGTCTTGTTTGTTGGGCTGAATGAACTTAATTTGCTTCTAAAAGTTGAGCTTCCACTCTTAGAACTTCTGCAAATTTGGGTATATTAAGTTCATTGTGGTTGGTCATAAACTTTGGGGCATTGCTGATCATTTTAAGAATGATCAGCAATCATCATCCCCGAAATTCTATGCTGTGGACATAACATGTCTAGTGAGTTTGAAAAGTTTCCTCATAAGTGAGTTTAATTCTATCAATTTTATATTAGTAGTTTTTTATTCATAGTTATGTTCCACTAATTGGTGATTTAACATTGCCCAGATTGTTGAATTGGTGTTGATTGGTGACTTAACATTATTCAGATACAAAACAGTTTCTTAGTGAAATAATGTGTTGTGATTTGGCAACATTATAAGCCATAATTTTATTTGGATCAGTTGATTTGAAGATGAGATGACGTAATCAGCATACATATCACAAAACAGAGTTATAATATTGGACCAAGAACACCTCGAGAAATACTAAATTGAATCAGTTCTGGAGGAGGTGGACTGCAGTTCTTCATATACATTAATTTGGAAACTTATTGGAGATAAATGATTTCAAACTTGTGAATTAGTTTGGAAAGGCTTATTTTGTATACAAAACCTCTATGCCAAACTCTTAATAAGGTATTTGGTGAGGTGAAGAAAAACCACCACACTGAATTATATTTATTCAGGGAAGTGACAATAGAGTTGATTATGTTGTATTATTAAATAAAGCCTTCTGAAACCAGCCTGATAGTTAGGTATCCAAATTTCTTTGGGATGGTCTTTAAGAAGTCTTTGTGAAAAGTATTAAAAAAAATGCTCTTAAGATTAATTCATATTTAATAATATATCTATACAATCAATAATTTATTAAAGTTTTAATTATTATTGCTATATTGCAATAATATTTTCATTTCAATAAGTCATAGCTACTTTTTCATGTATAACGAGTCCTCAGTGGTGATGGTCTTTGTGGAAACGTTGGCCACAGTAACCACAAGTGTGTTCACCCTTTTGGTCCTGCATCAAAAAGTGGTTTAGTAATTATACATAAGACATTATAAATATACATACCAAATTAATATAAACTTTGGGATGTCCTAATGGACCACCACCTCCATCACAAAAAATGACACGCTCTTTTTCTAATTTTGATGGGACTTCGTTAACTAACTTGACAGCCCAGTTCTTATTAGTTTGCTTTGGAGCGACCATAAATCTACAGTTCCTGTAATCGTCAGCTTCCCAATCCTTGGCATTTTAAATTCATATGATTTAAATACATAAATCAATTGACATTCATATCTTTGATTTATTATTACCTGGCCAGTGTGAGTTACCGTACTCGAAGATTTACTTTCAGTACTAGATTTACATCTTGATAAAACGCACTGATTAACTTTAAATATATTTCGGACTGGAATTTTTGCTAAATTCGCAAACGACATGTTGCTTGTTATTATTCTTAAAGAACGTATGAAAATTATATGGGCCGAAAAATGACATAACAGCCCATAGAAACTTTTATGTAGTATGGTTGAAAACAAATAGTGTGATATTGCCTTTAGGTCTCATAAGTGACCCCACTACTTTTTATTCGCTGTTGTTGGCAAATTTAATGGTTCTCTCACGTTGGTATTACACTAGGCTGCCATTTTGTATTGTAAAAAGAGCAGATATCAGTTGTGTATATATGGTGTTTATTTGTCATTTTAAAGATACTATTTTGTGCAAGATAATTAACAAATGTTTAAATGGACGCATCGTCCATTATTACACAAGTGTCGCGGGATGACGAACAATTAAATTCATTTGCTAACGAAAAAGGTAAATATTAGTTCAAGGAATATGCCCATAAAAAGTGATGTGTTCTACACCTGTTAACACCTAATCATTCCGTATTGTGATTGACATTTGCGTTTTCGTAACAAATGTGATAAATCAATAGAAATCGAATTGAAATTTTTGTAATCATTCTGATATTTAATATTTTATGACTATGTGGAATAATGTCCCTTGATTTATTGCGCTTTGCAAAAAGTAAACAAGGTGTAATCAACCTTGAACAGATGTCAATTTATTAAAATTCTATAGTGATACGTATTTGTAAAGTTTTCTATTATTAATATTAATTACATGGCAAATATGTGCCATGTAAAATAATGCTACATCAATTCTCAGTTTTGTGCTTCAGTACTGTAGTTTCACACCAAAAAATCAATCAGGGATATTATCTTCATTATTGCAAAATCATTGATATTTTAGAAAGTTTTTTTTTTAGTAATTAGGCATTAGTAATTTAAAATCCAATATATGTGTTTAATTATACATATATATTCCATGGATATAAAATCAGAATAATTTCAGAGACAAAGAATTGGTCAGTGTATTAATAAAAATAATAAGTCAACATTATAATTTATCTGAACAAATGAAATGTTCTGACACTTACTTTTCTCCTTGACATTGCATAAATATGTTTAATCTTACAAGACCCTTAAGAATCTTAATTGGGCATAAGTTCAAGACATTGTATCGTTCAGCTGAATACAGTAATTTTGTGATAAAATCTGCCAAACATTATTATTATACTATATTATTATTTCTTACTTTTGCAGGTGTAGAAAATGAAACAGAAAAGAATAAAAATAAGGTGCGGAGGCGGCTGTGGCGTTCTCTATTATGCTGCTGGTCAGGTAGGGGAATCCTTAAAGGACCAGGAGGTTCCAATGGGGGTGAAGGTGATAGGCAATCTCCACCCTTGTTGACAACTGGATCCCCACAATATTTACTGCCTGCCATAAGACATCAGGATATGCATAAGAAATGCATGGTTATAGATCTTGATGAGACACTTGTACATAGCTCTTTCAAGGTAACTTGTATTATTGTTATATGGTTCAATAATTGTTTGTCATCAAATTATAGAACAAAAGCTTTGATGATGTAAAAATATCATGCTTATTACTATTTATTTTAGCCGATTAACAATGCAGACTTTGTAGTGCCTGTGGAAATTGATGGTTCAGTGCATCAAGTATTTGTTCTGAAACGGCCCCATGTGGATGCATTTTTGCAAAGAATGGGTGAATTATATGAGTGTGTTTTATTCACAGCTAGTTTAGCAAAATATGCTGATCCTGTTGCAGATCTTTTAGATCGTTGGGGAGTATTCAGAGCAAGGTGAGTGATTTTGAACTGTTCATATATAATTGGTTATTTATTATATTTATATATATATATAATTTACTTATGTACATATTTGATTTTTAGGCTGTTTAGAGAGAGCTGTGTTTTTCATAGAGGAAATTATGTGAAAGATTTAAATAAACTTGGTAGACCTCTACAACAAATTGTTATTGTAGACAACTCTCCAGCTAGTTACATTTTTCATCCAGATAATGCGGTTAGTTTCATATTTTAGTTAAATTGCAAGTTATTTATATTAGTTCAGCATTAAATAAGAGATTTTATAACTCTCATCTGATTATTTTTTTTATTATTTGAGTTTAAGTTTTTTAATATCTATTACTTCAAATTGAAGAAATGCACTAAGAAAAGTTTCCTCTATAATAAATAGTTTGATGTTAGAATGGTTATTTTTAACTTGGTAAATAATTCTATTTTATTAATTTCTTTTATTTTTTTATTTCTAGGTCCCTGTTGCATCCTGGTTTGACGATATGACCGATAGTGAACTTTTGGACTTGATCCCATTTTTTGAAAAACTGAGTAAAGTGGATAGTGTTTATACTGTTCTTTGTAATAGTAATCATCCATATCATTCACCTTCTGGTGTACAACCACCACAACCATCCTAGTATAAGGTCACTAGGAACCACTTGTCCAGAACTCGCAGTGCGAAAAAAAGATTTACTCTGGTCAATTGTAATAACAACAATAACAAACATTTGCTGCAAAGTAAAGGAAAGGTCAGGAATAATAAAAAATATCTTTGTAAGAGAGTAGTTACCAGGTCTAATGACAATATTAAACGGGACAAGAGATTAAGAACACGAGTTACAAAATTGAAAAGTGCCACTAGTGCGTTGAATAATAAAAACAAATTGTGAGATATTATTAGTAGATTTGTATAATGATTTAAGTTTATGCAATGAAAGTAACTCGTTACAAAGTCCTTGTCGATATTTTAAAAATTGTTCTGATTATTGTCATATTGATTTTTTTTTAATACTATATCCTATTACTGCCCCAAACGTATTCAGTACTGTCAAATTTACTTTGTATATAAATTTCAGTGCAGAACCTTTTTAATAATACCCTGAAATTGTTGCAATTATTTTTTGTGAAACATCACATATTACTATTGAGTTCACATAAATTTCATTATGAACTCTCTTCACATTATTTTCTGAAATGTGTATCAATTAACCCCCCATATTCACAAATGTGCTTAGCGTATTTTTATTTTATTTGCAACAAAATTTAAGAGTATAAGTTTGCAAGAATATAATGAAAATAAAATTCAGGAAAATTTGCACATTATAAAATGTTTAAAATGATTTTTCTGGGCTGTATTTAGTTTTGATATTTTTCATCATTTTGTAGATAGGCTGAATCTTTGTTTTTTTTTATAACTTTACCTTACATATTTGATCTTCAATTGACTTCAATCAGAACAATATGGAATTAATAATGAAGGCCTTTGTATATACATATATACATATAGATGTACATCATTTATTTTTTATATTATAATTATAAAGGATATAAGATGCAATTAGTGAGTGAGAGAGCATGGAATACATGATGAGTAATATGTGTACAGTAAATTTTTGTTTTATTTTGGCTGGTTCCATTTTAGAATCGTTTGTATTCGCAAATGGAGATTTGTTTAATTTCCTATGTTTTATTTACTTTTATTTATGACTTATGAATGGTTATACAAAATTAGATCTGAAATTCATATATTTGATTATGAGTTTATTTAGTCCAATCAAATGATATTGAATAGCATTTATAACAATATTTATCTGATTTTTACCAAAACTTGTTTGAAAATGATAACAACTAAAGATTTTATTCAAATAGTTTTAATTTATTATTTGACTGGGCTATATTTATTTATATTATTTATCTATACTCTCATTTTTTTATCTGGTTAAACAAGTCTGCATTTTACGTATTGAGGTTTGTGCTTGATTATTTTATTATATTTTTATTTTAATAACCTTTTGTATTATTCTGTGTGATTCACGTATCGGTAAGTGGTTTGCTATGTGCCAAATCTGCCTTTCTAGATTGGAAAAACGTTATGACTGAAGTATATCAGATTTTAGGCAAATTTTGAATGACGATTGGTAAATGTTATTATTTACTAAAAAAACGATGCACCAACTTATAATCTGACAATTTCGAAAATAAAAAAGTGGACATTTCGCACAATTATCGATTTTCGATAGAAGCCGGCGTAAATTGACTAAACATCTTTCACAATCATTTTTATACTGCAATAATTTTTAAAAACAGTTTTATATAATAATTTTTTAAATTAGTAATTGCACTTATGACGAAACTTAGGAGGATTTGAGTGTTTTATACATTAATACCAATTTTCATATAAATATTCTAATGCCTTTTCGGTAGATCTATGTAATAGAATCTTCAACATCTTATCAAAGCTAAACTCTATTGACATGATACACTCAAAAACGTATTGCAAGACAAAGTTTAATTATTATTAGTGGCATCGCTATTTAATAAATTTACACATGTTTAATGTATGTATGAGAAATAGCATTTATTATGCATGTTCATAAGTGCATACTTATGTTCGATAAGTATTGACTTTCGCGACTTAATATTCGTCGGAAATTCTGCAATTCTTAGGTTTTGATATTGATTAGATTTCTACACTACTTCGGCAGTAACTAAATTTTTTAATAAATTTAGATTAAAGCATAATTGTTAAATGTGTGTTTACAATATGGTATAACATTGCTTCCTTTGCAATTTGTGAATTTTTATAATCAATTATGCATATATATATATATATATATATATATATATATGTGTGGTCAAGATTTGCATGCCTTATAGAAACAATTGATATACATGCCATTTTATTTATAATAATATAGTATGTGATTATGTAAATGAACAAATGGAAAATTGCGCAAATATACAAAATTAACACAAATATTACAAACCGGAATAAGTTTTTAAATTGTAAAATAAAAAAGAAAATAGTTCAAATATTCAGCATTATTAATATTATTAATAATATTATTGATAATATTAATATTATTAATAAGAAAATAGGCCAAATATTCAACATTATTGTTACATTTTTAATAATATGTGTATAATATTTGTATAATAATTCAGTTGCTCATTTACACAATCACATACCAGATTATAATCAATAGAATGACATCAATTGTTTTCATAAACCAAGCAGGATTTGGCTATATATATAATTATATATATATATATATATATATATATATATATATAATCAAATATAAATATTTACACAAAGATATGAAATATGCAATGTATGTTTTCAATACACTTGCACATTTTAACACTAGTATATGAAATTGGAATATTTATAAGCCATATCAAGATTTTAATTACGTTAGGTTTAATCAGTGTGTGCTTGAGTATCCTAAATTTATTCAAATAATACAATAATCTAGAGGTAATGAAATATTTATCTTATGTGTACCAATTTATTTATTATATGAAGATATATTCATTAAGCATGTATGAAATATCTTCATAAAAACTTAAAATTTTTTCAAAATTTTTAAAATACTTAATTTTAGAAATTCATACTTTTGAGTTGGAATTAAATAATTTGAGCTTGTTGAAGTGTATATATATATATATATATATATATATATATATATATATATCTTCGTATAAAATTAGTTGGTAAATATTTCACTCTCTTATCCTATAATTGTGATTTTTAAGTTTTAACTTCAAACTGCCTATCCTGAAGCGTTTTTTTAGATCATCCTTGTTTTCATATGTGAAATGTTATATATATTTAGTTACTAAGGGTTTTATCTTTTGCACAAATATTGACGAAATTAATTTTGTTTTATAATAAGTATATAAATAAGCAAATTGCTATATATTATAACGATATAAAATTTTATTAATTTATAACTTATAGAACGTTTCATTTTGGATTTGTCAATGCTCGGAAATTCTTTTCTTATTATTAGTGTTTCAGAGTAATTTAGAATATGCCCTCGCTTGGTGTATTCAGAGTTTTTGTTTTAAATCCTTTGTTAATAATAATGTTATTTATGAAATAGAAAGTTTTATAGGCAATTTTTATTCCTGGATTTGAAGTCCTTTGTCATTATGTGTTGAAAATTTAAGTTAAATATAATCTAATTGAATATAAGACACCGGTGACAAGTTCATGCTGTTTGATGCAAATAAAGTTTTATATTTGTTTCCGTATATTTTAAACTCGCACAGCAAATAATTGAAAAATTATGTTGGATTATTAATCAAATAGAGGAGCAATTTTCGAGCAACATTTGTATATATATATATATATATATATATATATATATATAATGTTACGTAATTTAGTGTGTCCATTTTATTTATATTGAATGTGAGCGCACAGTACATTTTGTTTATATTATTACATGTAAGCGATACTTATTAGTATGAACGTATCGCGTTATATAACATTATAAAGCACACTTTTCACGCTGTGTTTAATATATGCAAAGAGAGATTATATGTTTATAGGTTTTATTTAATTATATACTTGTAGTATTTTATACAATTTTAAAATTGTAAATTAACATTGTTAAATTTACATACTAACTGCGTGCAATGTTCTATTTACAATACTATGTATATAGTATAATTTTTTATAAAAAATATTATACTGATTATATCCCGAATATTTGTAACTATACATAAATATCTAAAAAAAAATCTTATAAATATATATTTACATATGTATGTACGTATATATTATGACTGGGAACAAAATGTAATCGCGGAACGTACATTTTCTTTGCCATACAAGCATTAATAATATTTATTTATGTAGAACCATTGCACTAGATCGTACCCTATATAATGAGATAGTTGATAGAAATAAGTGATGTTTATTGCGAAAACTTATGTCGTCGGCATAAAAAACGTTAAATAATTCCATACTATTAGAATTAATTAAAATAACGTTCTTTTATATCGGCGGCATTAGTGCACAATTATGTGATTGAATTTTGCAAGATTGGTGATTTCATTGTGATGTTTTATTTTATTTGACGTTTTCGCAAAATCGTCGCATAAAATAATAAGCTTTAATACGTTATGCAAAAAGTATGTACGCTGATAAGTATTGTTTAGTAAAATTGAATTTGCGAAGGGTATATCTAGTGAATAATATGGTTTATTCCTTAATTTCAATTATTCTATATCACATATGATTCTCCAGTTGACTGAATGTTTTCAAATGTATAAGGCAAGACTAAATTCTGTTACTTATTTACTTATAATTAGTTTATTAAAACTGCAAATTTTGAGAGCACTATCAAATATGGCGTAGATGATTACATACAGGGAAAGTAAATTCTTTCAATATTTTTCAATGCTAATTTCTTTTCATCTTTAAATATTTTTGAGAAGGTTCAGTGAACAATGACATTACAATTATCACATACATTTTACCATCGTTTGCATTTCATTATATTTCATCTTTTATAATAAATAGTAATATTCAGTATCACAATAATAAGTAAAAGTTTTACACACATTGCTGAAGTGGCCTTAAAGTTTATTACAATTATTGTCTTATTCAAGTTAGTATGAATTTTTCAATTTCTACCGTGTATTAAAATAACTTATACTTGTGATTCAATAATTGAACATAATGAAATGTTTTGTTATAAATCATGTTAAAATTACGAAATGTTTTGTACGTGAATAGCATTAACTTCTTAGACAATATCACATGTTAAACGCCGTCTTAATAATACATAATTGTACATAAAAATACATCCATACCAATAATTGTGCAAAATTAAAATTGATAAAGATATGATTTAGATTGATTTTTTTTCGTACAGATATAGATTTATACTGCATACGGTCTTTTTCATTGAAAACTTATTTAAATAATTATTCCCTGTTTCGGTCACAGTTTTTGCGCGTTAATGGTTTGGGTTATATTTTATTATTAGTCCATTTAAGTTTGCTTTTGGTATAGGTGTGATAGTTTAAGGATAAATTAATGTAATATTCTATTAATTGCTTTCTCAATCGCGTTATTAACAGTTCAATACGTTGATTACTTTGACCAGGATTTTTTCTAGTTAGAATGCCTTCTGCCTTAATTCATATGAAGCCACAAAAATCAGTGCAATGAAGGGCAAATCGATTTAAAAGAAATGTCTTAATCGTATCAAGTGAAAGCAATAATTATTTGTACGATTTCTTATAGTTTTAACAATATTTGTACATATATATTTATGACCCGTATATGTATGCAGAGATTTATATTTTATTTTTTGTATTTACAGATTTTTGTTGTGGTGTTTGTATATATAAAATAATACTTATTTATTGAACACAATAATCAAATCAACTTCAATAGAGTTATTTATGGACATAATGATTGTAATGATGTATATGTAAAGACATAAGAAAAAATCACGAAGTCAGATGATAAAGCAATAATTATACATAAGTTATTCAAACCTAATTGTATAACGGTGTCATGGAGGTGCCAAAGGTTAGGTAGTTGCTAATTATTCTTGCAAAATAGCTAATATTCAAAATTCAGAACCATTTATACTTGTATATTGTAGTATAATTTGAATATTTGCATCTCACCGACTGCTTCTGCTACCAAAACAATTTCAATGAAAGTTGCACCATTATCGATGGTGACATTTTTTTTTAAATTTATGTAATAATTATTATGAATCATCTTGATATACGTGAGTTAATATTTTACTTCCAAAAATAAATATTGTACAAAGAGTAGTCTGGTAAAGGAATGAAAAAATAAATTCAAAACATAAATAAATATAAAATATTCTAGGATATGTACCATATTAATGACTTATTTGAATCACACATAATCAGCAAGCCTTGATTAATTTTATTACTGTATATATTATGAATAAACTACATTCAAGAACAGTCTAGAACTTTGATATAAAATATATATTTTGTGTTAACATTTCAGTACAATTTGATATTACATATAATTTTATGTTTTGAATATCACATTTCTTAAGAACATGAAAATAATATTTTATTATAAATCTACAGTTACTTTGTACCAACATTTGTCAATGTGATTTACTTCTAGAGTATATGTACAGATACGTATCTGAGGTGCCTTCTACAATTAGATGTAACGATATGGCTTTTCACTGGGTGTTACTACACTATGGTGGCTTATTGGGAATGTATTTTTTCTTGAAGAATTTGGTGGTAACAAGCCTATGGAAGTTATAAAGAATTATTGTAAGTAGCAAAATAATTTTATAATATAAATTTTCAATCAAATGCCAAATCAATCTGAACAAATAATTGTTGTTTTTCTTTTAGAACTAATTTTTCATTATCGTTCCAACCTAAGAATTTCTTAATTAAGGAAATAAGATTATATTTGTAAAAAATAGGATTATATAAACTTACTTCCCTAAATTCCGATTTTGCATGTGACTAACAATTGTTTTTGTGAATGTGAAATTTGTTTATGGTATTCAGATTGATGTGGACTTTTATAATTTTGTTTCAAACTATCAAAAATAATTTTAGCAAAAATCTTTCACCTTCAATAAACTAATATTACCTTTAATGTAGTTATCATAACATCGTCTTCTCCTAGATGTTGATCAAGATCAGATTGATCAAAAAAATTAAGTTCAGTTTTCAATTTTTGTGGGCTATTTGGTTGCGTAGTTGCATCGTTAATTCCGGACCGATCTAATAAATCTTCTATTATAGATACCTAATAAAGACAACAAATGCCCATAGCAGATTTATTATGAAACTATCTTAAATACAGTATTAAGCAACAAACCTCTGAACCTAATTGTAGTAATCTTGCTCTTATCACCAGAATAAGAAATAAAGGAAATAACGCGTCCATTCCCATTAGATAATTGGGCCCTACAATTTTATTTTTTTTTACTAATATATTTACAATTAGAGATTTATATAATTTGATTTTTAGTAAATTATTTCAATTCTTTTATGAAAGCATGATTTCTTACCTAAATGATTATAAACAGTGTCTCTAAGTAGTTTAAATGTGTTCCTTAGTACAGCTACTTTGTGATGTGCGCAAAATGTGGTTTTAATCTGTTGTAAACACTCTACGGCTTCTTCAAACAATTCTGAGCAAACAACTGGACGGAAATTGCTAAAACAAATATTACAAAGACCAATATGTTTCAATCTAAATTAAAAACTCCAAAATATTTTAGTATTCTTAAATGACAACATCAATCCAAGCAATACCTATCAATGCCCAATGAATTCATCAGTTCCATATTATCTTGAACGTGCCACATGCACAGTCGTCGCCAATAACTTTCATCATTTTCTCGATTTGCCAAAGCATATAGCACAAATAATGCTGAATGCAATCTTGGTAAAATTAAAGGATGAAGGATTGAAGATGGTGATATTAGAGTTCTAAAGAAAAATACAAAAAACATAAAAAATTGTTTAAAATGTTTTAAATTTTGTCCAGCTTACTAGATACCAACCTATTTTCTAGCCACTTTGGAGTTTTAGGTAATGCTGGAAACATTATAGCAATGATATCATATATTCCCTTTGTGATTTCTTGTAATTCGAGAAGGGCATGGTTTTTTAAAAGTGGACTGACGATTACACCTCCATAAGTAAATGTATAGGCATTTGACAAAGCATTCAGTAAATGATGCAAAGGGTGGATAGGACAATCAAATGCCTAAATATTAAATAATTTAATAAAAAGATTATAATATTTTTAACTATAAACTTCAATAATTGTTTAGATAGCAATGAATACCTTTCCTAAATAAACCTTTATTTCTTCAACTTCTTCCAAATTAAGTTTCTGCATTCCATAACTGGGAATTGTTTCTAAATCGTCAAATTTTTTCTTTTTATCTATTCGTTCAGTTTGGTTTTTTAAAGAGTTTTCCATTTGGCAATTTACCATGAAAATAGAAATTGACTGCCAAATTTTAGTTCTTGATTGGTCATGCAAAGAACTATCTTTATAAGATATACCCAGCTGAGTGTAGTATTGTTGGAAGATAGAATCCCATTTATATATTTCTGATGATTTTGAATTAGATACAGACGATCTAGAAATTTCAAAATTGAAATACCCGTTTTAGGTAAAATTACTAAGTTAGGCACTCACTGGTTATAGGGCACTGATTCAACCAATTCATCATTGCTATTCTGCAAAGTACCGGTAACTTTTATATTATCCCAAGTGCCGCCTAAATTTCCTTCTAAAACTCTATTGCCAATGTACAAGGCACCTTTACCAGCAGGGCCATTTAAACCTTTTAATTCTCCTTTGTAATGTGATCCATCATCAAATATTACAGATCCTTGCCCCTAAGAACATTACTCTATTAATATTCGCATAATCGGCTGATAATACTTTCATTGTTATTACCAATAAGAGATCTTGCGTAAAAACGCCTTCATAAAAATTCCCTTCAAGTGTAACTAGTAGACCTTTTCCATTCTTTTTGTCGTCAGACCACATTCCTAAATATTTTTGCCCATTTGCTATATCGTCCAGAACACCGTAACCCGATCTGTTGAAAATAATATAATTCTATGATAAATAATGGTGTTTTTGCGTTTTTAATATTCTATATACCTCAAACCATGTACAAAATTTCCAACGTAAATACTGGCAACAGAGCTGTTGAAATGACCTCGTTTTAGAACACCATGGCCATGATATTTGCCAGACAGAAATTGACCAGTATAATGATCACCGTTGCAGTAACGAAAAATGCCATTTCCACTCTGCAGGCCATCTTTCCAATGGCCTTCATAAGTTCCTAAAAAAATATATGTAATATTAACAATATTTAAATATTTATGAACGTACCGTTCCGGCACAGATACTTATTAGAATCGTCTAAGCGCATGGCAAAATACTAAACTTTAATGAATATTTATAATATAACCGCTTATGGCGAGCCTATAATACTTTAGTACTTTATTTCAGACTACAAAATCTTTTTTATTTATTCATAGTTTCATCAAAATAAAAAAAAAATCAACATTTAATTACGAAAAACGGCCCGGACGAACTTCACCAAATATTACTCATCGCGATAACCAACCAATATTTTTCGAATAGTTTGGAAATTTTTAAATCAATTTAAGATTGTGGGTTAAAACGCGGACGTCGCTCAGAACTGGAAAACACTAGAAAACAACGAACGAACTGGAAAACACTTCTCCTTCGGGAAGTTAAGCAAAGGTATTGATATGAATTCGACATGAATATTTTAAATACAAGCAAGCTAAACAGCTTTTTTTATTCACATAATAATTTCTGTCTACTAACCTACATTTGGATATTCCATTTTTCCATACCCGTGCATTTGATTATTCTGAAATTGCCCCACGTACGTTTTTCCATCTGGCCACTTCAACTTACCAGGGCCACTCATAACCGCCTTTACCCATCTTCCAATATATTTTGCATCGCGATAAGCTGCATTTTTTGTATAAGTATAGTTTGCTATTCTTACAATTGGTGGCTGATTAGAATTAATTTTTTTCATTACATTTTTTATTGCTTGTTGTAATGCTAAAAACCACCTAGATTTTTCACTTGGCGAGGGAGCATATACAATTATATTGTCCTCTGGAGAGATCAGCATTAGACTATTAGTTAGGACATCACTATCCGGCAGTGGTTCTACCCATAAAGTTTTTAAATCATATACATGAGGATGGCCATTAGTCATATGCAGGAGAATATCTGATAATAATATAAACCAATGATTTATAAATCTGTATGTGTTGTGAACATATAAAGGATCATTTCTCGAATCTCTAATCAGTCTTCTTTGTGGCAACCAATAAGTTTCCAGTATTTTACCAGCGTTTTGCCAAAAATTTTGTGTGAATTGCGCTTCATCTACTGCCTTACATTTATTGCTATTAAGTAGATCCCATTTAATTTGTAAATCAAGAATTTGTTTGTCTATAGATTGTTTGTCCTGAAATTCAATATTTTTGAATAGTTCAGGAATTGTTTTTTTATAAATTAAGATATGTTCTAAAGGATAGTTAAATATGTGATTGAAAATATCTTCACTGGTTTTTATTTTCTTAATATTTGCATAGTGTTTTTTTATATAAGTAGGTATATCAAATTTTCTGGCTAGGACCCGAAAACCATTCAGCGATATCACATTGCACAAAGCATTTACGTATTCATTATAAATATATATCATCTCATCTGTCTTATGTATAAGTATTATTTCAAACACGTCAATATTGCTTTGATTAAATAAATGTAGAGATTCTACATACAAAGCAGTTACATAAAGTATTTCATTAAATTTTGAACATATATTTTCATATGCATCTGTATCATTTGAATCACTCGTAAAAGTTTTAGCTAAAGGCTTTAACACATAAATTTGCATAAATAATAAATTTTCTAGAAATTTTTGCTCTGTTGATACATAATCAGGTACTTTTGCTACAGCATTGCAGTAAGTATATACTCCAGAAGCTTGCACATTGTTGAAATTCAATTGTACATTATTTTTATCATTGTGCTTACCATGGGAAGATATTTTCTTTAAGCTGATACCCGAGTCATCATGTGATTCTTCTACACAGTTACTTAATTCTATAATATCATTTGTAATTCCTTCATTATGTTTACCCATAAAACACAATTTCAAGTCTTGTGTTAAAATTGATGTGTGTTTGGCACCACAGTATGCACTTAAAACTCTACTGTTGACTAGTTTATCAAATTGTTTTGGAAAACTTTGATTAGTTTTTGAATCAACGTTTATTTGATGATGATTATTTTCACCCCATAAAAATATTCTGCCATCTAAACTTATCGCCAAAGCATGATCTTCACCACAGCTAATATTTTTTATTCCAAGCCCGCTTAGTTTGGCTACTATTATGGGTTTCGTTCTTTTAATTTGGTCACCTGTACCCAGTTGCCCATGATTTACTTTACCCCATGTCCACAGATCAGAGTTTAGCAATCGTTGACCTGTTCTTATTAAACATGATGCTTTTTCTGAAGTATCACTTTCTGAATTATCTTTGTCACTTAAAGTACTACAAGAATCAAAAAAATCATATAATTTTGATACAGCATCTTCATTGTTGTTTTCAGAACGACTGAGGCAATCAGTCATTCCATTTTCACTACCTCCGCTCATGTGTCGAGATAAACTTTTTACTCCCTCATATACAAGACTAGTTAAGTTGGAAACATTTTCTTTTATTATGCGTGTTGGCTTTTCAGTATAGTCAGCTAAATATTCTTCCCCAGCAGACATCCATGACAACTGCTTTGTTAAAAATAATCTGGCAGAATCAGAATTTATAAAGCTATGTAGAGTGCGTGATTTAGAGGAATCTTCGCTGACTTGGGTTTCACTAATGGCATCAGCAGAATTTAATTCTTCTGATACATTTTCAAAATCTTCTGCTTTACCACTGCTACTTTCTATAGGCAGACAAATATCTATTGGACTAGTGTTACTAATACATTCTTCAGATAACTTATCTAATTTTAATCCTAATGGACATGTATCGTTTGAAACTGGACTAGACATTCTACTAGCCAACATGCATTTAGGACAATTTAGTACAAACACATTTTCACTTATTTCACTATCAGACTCTCTCTCAAGCTTGATGCTCTTTCTAGATAAGACCATAGCAAAATCATTTCCTACGGCAATGTCTGTGATGATCTTACCATCAAAGCATAATACTTTTTTAGGAGTCAAAGACTCTATTCTTATTTCAGGCATTGTTCCACTTGCCCACAGTTCATAGTTTTCAGTAATAAACAAACACCCATATTCACCTGCTGCTATATTTTTTATTTTTATTGAACTACTTTTAGACTGGAAACCATGAGCACAGGTTTTAGATTCATCTTCAATTTCGATCTGCTCGAAGTCTGATGCATTTTGTATATTTCGATTATGGAAAATTCTACCTTCAATATCTATGATGTATAAGTCTGATCCTCTTGTACCAATATCTTTTACTAATTTTTCACAATATTTGTGGAATTGTATCGATTTATTTTCTACAACCAATCCACAAAATAGCTCAAAGCAAGTTGATAAAAGAAATATTGTGTCTTGAATGCAACATATTTTTTTTATTTTCGTGTCTATATCATGAGTAAGTTCTTCTATGCCTTTCCATAAGCCAAAATTACACATATCAGTCATTTTTAGAAAATTTTTGGATATTTGATATAAATAAATAAAACCAAAAGATTGAAAAATTTATAAACATCATTTCGTATAACCCAACATTTGTGAATTAACTATTAATTTATTGCGCAATTTTTCACTTCATGAATCACTCCAATATGTAAGATATTTATACTTATATTTAGTTGAAAAATATTTGGTATTGTTCATGTTGAAGGATTTATTATTATTTATTTATAAGTCATTATTTATCTGTCATTTTGACAGATGACAAAATCAAATCAGATTCAAACATGATTCACACCCTCCTTTTTCCTTTACAACATTGGCTCACTTTCACTAATCCATTTATTAATATAGGCGTTGGTGTTTTATTGAATATTGTTTAAATAAGATAACAAAAGAAGATAATTAACTATTGATAATGATTAGAGTGAATATAAATTTAACATTTTTATGATAATTTTGTTAACGGATTTTTAAATCGATGAACAAGTAGTTAACGGATTTTTAACGGCTTATAATTTTGTATTCAATGATTGATTCGTTCAACAATTTAAATTGCACATGAAATAAATAACCTCAATTAATTTTCTTTAGATAATCAGTTGATAGGTATAACAATTAACGATGTCTCGAACTCTAACTTATGTCACTGGCAATGCGAAGAAATTGGAGGAAGTTATGACAATTCTTGGTACAAAATTTCCTCGTACCTTGGATAGTTTCAAAATTGATCTCCCAGAACTTCAAGGAGAAATTGATGAAATTTGCATTAAGAAGTGCCAAGCAGCAGCGAAGCATTTAAATAAGCCTGTTATTATAGAAGATACTTGTTTATGCTTTAATGCTTTGCATGGTCTTCCTGGTCCATACATTAAGTGGTTTTTAGAAAAACTTCATCCCGAGGGATTACATAAATTGCTCACTGGCTGGGAGGATAAGAGTGCACAAGCCGTCTGCACTTTTGCCTACTCAGAAGGTGCAGGACAGGAAGTGATTTTATTTAAAGGTAAAAATTGATTCAACTTGTGAATATTAATATAACTATTCTATGTAATAATATTATTGCCTTTTATTATTCGTTTCTTTTTTTAAATCTAAAATTAAATATATGATATTCTTTTCTGTATATTGTGAATAATGTTATATTATATTTTAGGTATTACAGAAGGAACTATAGTAGAACCCAGAGGTAGTCGAGATTTTGGCTGGGATGCTTGTTTTCAACCTAACGGCTATGATAAAACTTATGGGGAATTGCCAAAAGAAGTAAAAAATCAAATATCGCATAGGAGTAAAGCATTGGAAAATCTTAGAAAATATTTTGAAAATGAGAAATAATTTGCCTGAATATTAATTTTATAAGTACCAAATAAAATAGTTAATATTGTGAACTATTTACAAAAATGTTTTATTTTTCTTTCTTCGCTTATGGTAAAAACATGAGTATCACATTTATCACAATCTTTAATTAATAATTCTTTATTTTATGTTTAAATTTAATCTAATAAATATATATGAACTTATAATAATAAATATGTATATTATATACATAATGTATAATTATTAGTGATTATTTAGCTGTTTCAATTTTGTAACCAAAACAAAATGTAACATAAACGAACACATACACACAAACACACACACACATATATATATATATATATATATATATATATATATATATATATATATATATATATTAATAGCAATATTATGCTGTTATCATAATATATGCAGTTTCATTCGAGAACGTGAAAAATGAGTGAACATATCAATATATCAGCTTAGTAAATTAAGAATAAATGCTTGGTATCAGAATTAATTATATAATAATATTTTTTTTACATTTGTTAAACTTAATTAAAATAAATGCTAAACCTACAACATTACGCACTCGTATCAAAAAGCGCGCAACCTGATCAATAAAGCGACTTATCAGTTATATTGTCTGATAAAAAATAAAAAATGATAAAAGCATTATCAAAGAACATATTTTAGATCACAAGGTGTGTATTGCAGGTCTCTCTTTCAGTATTTGCGCAAAGAGATTAGAGTGCGTTTGAATTAATTACGTAGTATTTGGTAGTAGTTATTTTAATGTGAATTTTCTAGGAACTATCTAAATATGGTGTATGATAAGGCCATTTTTGTAAGTATACAATTTGTAATTCTATATATACTTGACTTTTAGAAGTTGTTTGTAAATATTAAATATATAAATTAAGATATTTAGAGATAATTTAACTGATATAACACATATTTCAATGTATTAAAAAATTATAGATTATAAAGTCTTGTAAAAGACTTTTGCTACTCCACATTACCATTTAATATTTTAAATATTTTGATAAGCACTCTCTTTTATATTTTATTAATGTTGATGTTTATGAATAAGTGTTCTCCGTGAAGTGATATTTTGATCAATATATTTTTTTAAAATTTATGTACAATAAATTGATTCAGATAATTTCTTTCTCTACCTTAGGCGGAACACGTATGGGTCCTATTCAAGGATTCTCGCGTGGGCGACGACCACTCGGTGGTGCGGGGTTGCAGCGTGATCCGGAAGGACCGGAATAACGGTTTCTTAGTTCGAGATTTGGACGGTAAAGAACACTGGGTTGGAAGTTCATGTATAATAGGAGCAATGCACAGTGGATCTTTAACATCAATAGAAGATATGGCACAACTTGATGATCTGCAGGAGCACACCGTCCTGCACAATTTGCACCTGCGGTATTCCAAAAAGACGATTTACGTGAGTTAATTTTAAAATATATCTGAATTGTTTTTCATCCAGAATCTATTTGTCTATTACTTAATCCTCTCACCGTGAACGTCGCCTATAGGCGTCATCCGCATGACAATTTGTATGCACGAGTGTCGCCTATAGTCGACGTCTAGTGTATCAATTTTTGCTTTAATATTTATGATTCTGAGTTAAATCATTGAAAATAAAATTGTCATTGCGGTTTTTAATTTTTTGAATACAGTAATTTTGAATACAGTAATTTTTAATTTTCAAATACATTTTTATTGATAATATTAAAAAATCTTTTGTATAACAAATACTTGAGAGGCATGTTGGCTCATTGCGTTAGGTTTTTAGCAGAAAGTTTTCATTAGCTATATATTTGTAGTTAATATTTGAAATATTATAAATATATCTAAATAAAATTTATAAATAGAAAAATGCACATTGTGTAAGAAGCCCATGTGATACGTTATATATAAATACGTGCGAGTAGTAGACTAATTTACTTGTTTCTTTAACTTCAAATTTATATTATGACTTGTAAATGAATAATAATATATTATTTTTATAAAAAGTAAAATCGATAGGTGAAAATTTCGTGATAGTAATCGTATAGAGCTATGGGACAGCCTAATTTCAAACATTAACATTGGTGTATGTTTGGAAATATAGATAGCAATATGTTTCTAAGCAAAAATAGTTCTTAGCCGAAGTTGCTGCACCAATAAAAAATGATTTTTTTTAAATAATGAATTTATCATATACTTAATGATAACTAAACCCTTTCTGTTGCCATATAGAAAACATTGTCAAAAAGTGAACACAACAGCTTATAGGACTTATTAAGTTCTGTATGATGTTAAATATTAAAAAAATCTTTGTAAACAATTATTGAAACAAAATGGTTAAATAATAAAATAATCTATCTGATAATGTTCTAAGAGATGTTTATTTATACGCATAATCTTTTTAACAGCCTTATTTCTATGAATCTGTAATTAGACCCATTTTATTTCTGGATATCAACAAAATCTACCTCAACAAAAAGCCTATAGATAGAGTATTTGTTTGGAGGAAATATCTTCAAAATGAAAAACTATTTTTCTGCATTATACGGATCCGATATCTCGATTATTATACAAAACCGATCAGTCTGCTTGCAAAATAATTGCTTCATTAAACCAAAAAGTGCAAGATAATTTCAAGTGATCATTGAAATGATCAAATAATGACTAATAAGATTTTCCATATTTGTTACTAAGCCTATATATATATATATATATATATATATATATATATATATATATATATATATATATTATTTATCTTCAAATCAATATCTTCTTCTTTAATTACTCCACTAATTTAAAGAATGCGAGTTATCAGAATACATGCAATTGTTAAATAATGATAAAATACCTACGCATAATAAGAGTTATCAATTTTTGTTAGTTTTTTTTATATGACCAAAAAAATAATTTACTTTGTCTTATCTCATACCACAGAAATAATATCACATAACAAGTCATACATTATTGATTTTGATGATAACGGGTGATTCATATTAATATTGCATATCTCATTTTTGTTATTAATGTGATTGCAATAGAATAAAAGCTAATAAAATTAATTTCTTGTTTGATAAAGTCATATCTATTAAGCACATATGTTGCTTATTAATTATATTTTATGTTACGTAATCATAGAAATTTTATAAAATTCCTATGATTAAATTAATAAATAAAATATACAATTGTATACAATTAAACCACCAGTATCAAAATCGCATCTCGTACACCTGTACTCATGTATACAGTTTAAGCTATATTAATGATATCAAATTTATGATATGTTGTAAAAATTCCAGACATATATAGGAACTATGCTAGTTGCCGTAAATCCCTATGAAACATTACCTTTGTACACCCAAGAAAAGATAAAGATATACAACAACAAAAAGATTGGAGATATGCCGCCGCATATTTTTGCTATTGCAGATAACGCATTCTCATCCATGACCACTAATTCGCAAAATCAATCAATCGTCATAAGGTATTTATGGCATTTTATAATATATTTGAAAACAAATTAAAAGGATCATCAGCTAAATATTTTATGATGGTTTACTATCATACTATCAACTATCGTATTATTGTGATTTTTGAAACATATTCTACATGGTAATATTATGCTATAAATGCATTTAACTTTAAGTATTTGGTTATCAATTCAGTGTTTTTTTAATTTCTGTTGTAGTGTTTATACTTAAACTATATGTTCGCATCCTATTAGGTGCCTAAAAAACTATTACATTTTATTTCAAAATTTAGTTCAGGGTTAATATCATATATTTATTACTACAAAATACCTTTTTGTTTCAATTTTTTTAGCGGCGAGAGTGGAGCGGGAAAAACTGAAAGTACCAAATTAATTCTTCAATATCTAGTCGCTAAAAGTGGCCAACACACACCGGTTCAGCAGCAAATTTTGGATGCCAATATAATTCTGGAAAGCTTTGGAAATGCCAAAACCGTATGCAATAATAATTCTTCAAGATTTGGCAAATTCATAGACGTCAATTTTAATCGCCATGGAATCATTGATGGAGCTGAAATTGAACACTATCTACTTGAGAAATCAAGAATTGTGTACCAAAACCCAGGAGAAAGAAATTACCATGTTTTCTACTCGTTGTTAAATGGATTGACCAAAGAGGAGAAAAAATGTTTAAGTTTAGGAGATGTCAATGAATACAAATATCTTGCTAATTCAGATAGAAGAAATGCTCATGAAGATAAATTGGACGGGGCGATGTTTCATCAACTTCGAAATGCCATGAACGTCTTGAATTTTGCCAAGGAGGATCAATGGGAAATTTTCAACTTGCTCGCAATGATTTTACACATGGGCAATATGAAATATAAAAGATTGAATGTACATAATATGGAAGCAAGTGAATTGTGTGATAGTTTACATGTAACCCAGGTTGCCAACTGCCTTGTAGTAAACAAGAGTACTTTGATGTCCGCTTTAACCAGCAGAACTATTTTAGTCAATGGTGAACGTGTCATTTCTGGTATCTCAAAAGAGCAAGCATTAGCTGTTCGAGACACATTGGTGAAAACAGTTTACGGAAAACTTTTTATCATGCTAATAGACAAAATAAATTATGCAATTTCTGATAACAAACAAGTCAAGAGGAGTTCTATTGGCGTGTTAGACATATTTGGATTTGAAAATTTCTATTCAAATAGTTTCGAACAATTATGTATCAATTATGCGAATGAAAGTTTGCAGCAATTTTTTGTAAGGCATATTTTTAAATTAGAGCAAGATTGTTATATAAAAGAAGGAATAGATTGGAAGAAAATAGATTTTGTAGATAATGAAGACGTTCTTAACGTTATAGGCAACAAGTACGTCAATATTTTTGCTTTAATAGATGAAGAAACTAAATTTCCTAAAGGAACGGATTTAACATTGTTGTCCAAATTACATAATGCTCACGGAAATAAAAGTATATATTTAAAACCAAAATCTGATACAAAATCGAGTTTCGGGATAAGGCATTTTGCCGGTCCTGTTTATTATGATGTGCAAGGTTAGTAATCAATCTTATACGAAATAAAACTTACCTATATACAAATTAACAACAAACATTTTGAACAGGTTTCCTTGAGAAAAACAGAGATGCTTTCAATTTGGATTTACAATTTTTGGTCGCAAAATGTGGGAATCGATTTTTAAAGCATCTGTTTAAATCTGAAATTTATGGATCAGATACTATAAATCAAAAACGTGGATATACATTAGCTTCACAATTTAAAGACTCTCTAGATGAATTGATGAAAACACTTAATAATTGCAACCCGTTTTTTATCAGATGTATAAAACCAAATGAATCTAAAAAATCTATGGTGAGATATAACATTTTATCTATTTCAAATATTTGGAATTATTTTATCAAAAAAAACTGCGGAAACGTTTGGAAATTATTTAATTATTTGCAAAGATTTAATAATAGCTTTCTTTATCTTTTGATCGCTATTTAATCTTTATTTACTTTTCAAGATATAATTTGAAATAAATAAGTTTAGAGTTACCATGCATTTAATCTAAATTTTTCATCAATGTTCATTTACATTTGATTAAAAATGAATTACTGTACAAAAAGTGTTTATAAAAAAATGGATAAAATTTTTGGGATAAGATATGAAAGATTTAATTGATTGGATTTTAAATAGAAACAATTTTTAACTTGATTTTTCAGAGAGATTTACTATCAATGCATGAATTATCTAAAATTAATTCGATATGCGATAAATACTAATATTTATAATTTAGGTTTAAGAGAATATTTGTAGATTAAAAAGGATTTATATATTCATAATTGGAAAATAATTCAATTCTGTTTTGGTAAATATTTTAACATGATTTTTGGTGAATTCACAGTATTTTGATCCAGTTACATGCCTTCGTCAACTACGATATTCGGGATTAATGGACACAGCTAGAGTGCGAAAGGCTGGTTATTCTGTCCGGCTAACTTATTTAGAATTTTCCAAGCGCTACCTTCATCTCATACATGGGTCACCTAAACGACTAAATTCACGTGGAATTGCTGACCAAATATGCAACGAACATTTATCTACTTTTCCATCCACATATGTATTCTTAGGGCATACAAAAGTGTTTTTAAAAAGAGAAGCAGAAAAACATCTCGAAGAACAATTAGTAAGATCCTATCATGCGCATGCTGTTGTCGTTCAAAACGTTTTAATGATGTGGATATGTAGGAAACGATACATCAAACTAAAAAAATCAGTTGTTATACTTAAAAATTATTGGAAAACACGTAAAGTTAGAAGTGAATACCAAATCATGAGAAAAGGAATTGCACGATTACAGGCCAGGGTTGTTTCAAGAAGATGCGAATTTCGATATAAATTGTTAAAGAAATATATAACAATGTTTCAAGCGCATTGTCGCGGATTTATGGTCAGGAGATGGGCTTTGCAAAAACTAGTTCAAAAGAAGCAAAAGAAAATAATGGAAAAGATACATTCTGAAAGACATAATTTGGGCCCGAATAGACAACCGTCAGTTATAGAAAATGATAATGCAGAAGAAAACAAGAGAATTAGAGAAGAATATAAACAAATTCAACAAGATCGTCGCAATAAACTTACCCCTGCTAATGTCCGGAATATGAAACCAGTCATTGAAGAATTGAATTTTATGCATAAGTTTGAAAAGAAATCTAATGTGCAAACTAACGCCAACCATAAGCTTAATAAAAATAATGAAATTAATCATCATAAAATAAATACGCGACTGATTCCGCATAGTTCAAAACTAACAAGAAACAACAGCGCCTTAGATGAACAACTCAAAAAATCGAATAATAACGTCGAAGAAAAATTATTATTCATTGGTAAATTAAATTCAAGACCTAAAACAGTATGTGAACTAAATACAAATTTGCATAAAAATAAAATCGATGATACAGTAAAACACGAAAAAAGCATTGTTAATATTAACGTATACACAAACAAAGTGCAGAAGCTGCCTGATAGACCAAGACCTAAATCACAAGGTGTGATTGAAAATGAGAGAAATATATCTCTTGAAGCAACTGAACCGATGCAGTATGTAGATAATATGTTCAAATTTTTGAATGATTCTGTGGATACAACAAGCAATGTGAAACCTTCGCTTAGGCACTCATCTGCTATGAGCAAATTTTTTAATACTTTCAGAAATAATAGCGAATCGCGACGCCCTGCGCCGATACCTAGTAAATACAAACCAGCAGTAATAAACAGTTAAAATATGAAAAAAATATAGTAGTTTATAGTATTACTCATATTCTAAGAAACATAGTGTATCGTAGTTTTAATTTTTTATTGTAAATTTACTTTTAGCATAAGTATAGATCCAAATGTGATATGTTAAATAATTATTAGTCAATATTTAATATATTTCGTTCAATAAATATATCTTATTGGGTAAATTAAATTATTCGCAATAAAATAAAAATACCCTAACGTTTCGAACGGTTCTGAACATTTTGGCATACCTTAGAAAAATTAGATGTTTGTATGAATGTCGATGATTTCGAGAGCACGGATCAACCGACTTGAATGGTTCAAAAAACATTCGATTCTTATTGACAGGGAGTCGTGCTGATTAGTTTTTGACGAAAGCAGGTCCAGCCGTTTTGAAGATAATGGGCAAAAAGTACCAAAAATGGTAATTTAGATTTTGAAACAACGGAGCGTCGATTTGAATGATTCAAAAAACATTTCTCTTTTTTTTTAACTCTGTTTTATTCAGCAATCAGAAATACATAAGGATTCCTATAAGCTAAGTTGACAATATTTGAGAGCGATGTCTAAGAAGAACTCCAATAAGATCTTCTTAGTTTAACAAAAAACATTTCACTTGTATTAACGGAATGGAGAATTGATTCAATTTTTGGGAAGGCGGGTCCAGGGATTACGTAGATCCAATATAAAACGTAAGAAAAATGTCATTTGTCGGTCAAAAATAATCATTAGATATATGCACGTGAAATTATCGCATATATTTTATATAGATTTAGGAGTATAAATTTTGTTTTTATTTTTATGAGTTTCGTACCAATTTTTAACTGTTTGACTGCTATTTTAATTATATTTTTTTAGATTTTAATATGTTCAAGAATGTTTAAAAAAATTTAAAATTTTCAAAAAAAATAAAACCTTCGGAAATTTCAAATTACGGGAAGTTAGCAATTTGCCTTTAGGCACTATACCATGTACCACTAGTTTAATCTTATTATTTATTTAATTCTTCTTTATTCATTTATTTTATTTCAATAACGTGTACGATCTGGTATTCTAAAATTGTTAAAGAGCATTTAATAAATATATGTAAAATTAATTCTGGATCGACAATTTTATATAATAATAATTTAATAATACACAAGTAATCGTGTCCAGGGGGCACAACTAGTGTGAAATTTTCAAAAAATCGAATTTTCAATTTTTCCATATTTTGATAGGTTATACCTTTAAAAATAACATACTACAATTTTAAATAGATATCTTAAACAGTTTTTGAGTCACAGCCATTTAAATGAGTATGTATAGTATATAGTATAAGGATCATTTTATCTTTACACGCGTTTTTCTCGAAACAGCATTTTCCGAATTTACTGCAGCGATTACTCAAAAACAAATGATCCGATCACTATCAATTTTTTTTACATGTTCTATATATAGTTATCCGTAAAATGAACTATTGATTTTTTGATCGGATCAAAAATCGAATTTTGGCAGTCTAAAAACGACCAAAATTTTGGGTAAAATTCGACTTTTTTCTTAAAAACGCCGTCATTTTGTCAATTTTTGATTTTTTTTTCTTTATCGTAGTTCATTTTACAGACAATATTATCTAGTTTAACGAGATTTTTTTTTTTAAATTTCATCCACGTAGAAGGCCGGAATCACTGCAGCAGGGAAGGTCCTTTTTTTTGTCGCGCCGTTGGAGATCGACGATAACTTAAAAAATATTTAATGTTTTTCTTCAAAAATTTTGCTATGTATTCTTAAAACATGCATAAATATATTCCTAAAATTTTGAAATGATTGATAAAGTAGTTTTTTGAATATAAATTCCCAAAAATCACCTTTTTTTAGGCGGTTACACTAGTTGTGCCCCTTAATAGTGATCTAATACAAAAACCAGATTTTAGTATTATGAAGGGACTTTAGAGGACTGTAACATTTTATATTCTGCCTGCTTTACTAGCGCGGAGGGGATAGCGTCCATGCCGTGTTGTGCGTTCTCTCGAAACGCCGGCAGTATTGCGAGTAGCCTGAGTCCTGTCGGTTGTACTGTGTCGCGTGTGCCGGTTATTGTGAAGTGCGTGATATTTTTGTTTATATTGCGATTTATTGGAATGGAATAATGTGATTATTATCAAAATTGTATAGAAAAGTGTTCATAGGAAAGTGCAAAGTGAACGATGTCGCAAATAAAGTTATTTGTGTTGTTTTGTGTATTTGTGACCTCAACTCATTGTGCGAAATCTTACCAGAGCACCCGCATAACATCGGACCAGGATAGTTTTCCGCACCATGGACGTTGCGAACCTATTACAATACCTTTTTGTATAGACATACCTTACAATGAAACGATGATGCCTAATTTATTAAACCACGGAAAACAGGATGAGGCTGGCCTGGAAGTGTCGATGTACTTTCCACTGGTCAAGATTAAATGCAGTCCAGATCTGCAGTTCTTTCTGTGTTCCGTTTACGTTCCAGTTTGCACGATTTTAGAAAAACCTTTGCCGCCTTGCAGGTCGCTGTGCTTGTCCGCACGGAATTGCGAACCATTAATGAACAAGTTTGGCTATTCCTGGCCGGATCATCTGGAATGTAGCAAATTCCCTGAGGCCGGCCTTTGCGTGGCTGAGAACTCGACGGGAAGCGCGGCCGTTGGGCCGAACGCAGGCTCTTCGGTGGCGAGCGGTCCTGGAGCTGTTCACACGCAACAGGCGGGTAACACGTTTCCAGCGTACGGCCCGCCGCGGGATTTAGGATTTGTTTGTCCCGAGCAATTCAAGACACCTCCGGACTACGATTATTCCCTTACAGTCGCAGGCAAGACCGTCACAGATTGCGGAGCACCATGCGATTCGATGTTTTTTGATGAACAACAACGTCGTCTGGCAAAATATTGGGTCGGCACGTGGGCTATTATATGCGTGGTATCGTGTTTGTTTACAGTGGTGACTTTCTTATTAGACACGGATAGATTCCGATATCCCGAAAGACCGATAATCTTTTTAAGCGTATGTTATTTAATGGTGGCCGCAGCGTATGTCGGTGGTTTTGCGGCAGGTGATACAATTTCCTGCATGGAACCCTTCCCGCCTTCGGTTAATATCGACAGACTGCAAATGGTGTCCGTTATAACGCAGGTTTGTTTCTAAATTTATAATGAGATATTTAACATCCTTAGAAGGCGTCCATTAATCACTTGAAACTTAAGTTGGGGATGATTAAAAAAAAATCAATTTTTTTTCAAAAAAAAAAATCAAAAAAATGTTTTTTTCAGGTACTAAAAATACATGTGATATTAGGTAAGGGAAGAGGTGGTAATTTCAAATATCATCACGTATCATCAAGAGGCGTGGGATTTAAAACCCTAAAAAAATTATCACTTCATTAATGAACGCCCCCTTATCTATTGTTGCAATAGAATAATAGTATTGCACTAGAACATAAGGAAATATATCTAGATAAATTGATAGGCAATGAACTTGTATATATATTGCATTCCAAAAGCCTCATAGTTACTAAATATGTAGTGTAAATTGAAGAATTGTTTTTAAATATTTCTTAGCAATCCATAATAATATATTATTCATAAGCTATTTGTCCAAGAAACACATAACACATACATTTCACATTAAGACTTTATCACATTCACATTAACATACATTACTACTTTGCTCCCTTTAAACTCCTCTATGAGAGTTTAACAAATAGAAAAATTAAATTAAATTGATACAATTTAAATTGAATGTGCTGGCTAATTTCTTTTGAGGCGCCTCACTAGTGGAGAATTAAGAAGGGAAAATAATAATTCCTTATGATAATCTTCAATCTTCAAGATTGTTTATGGCATCAGTCCTCGATATTTATTATCATTATAAATTATGTACTTGGAAATATACCAAAGCGTTTGATTGTCGTCTCTGCATAAGTACAGTGTTAGACTTACTTCAGAGTTCAATTCCATATTATCATTGTTTTAAGTATAGTTTTATACATAAAAGTAGTTTATTGTCGATAGATAGTGCGATCTTCTACCAAGAAACCAATATTATTCAGAAATTTTTGATCATTGTTGACTGGATTTTATACCCGATGGTCCAAGTGCATTCCAAAATAATTCAAGAATTTTGTAACGTGCTGTGACCTTTTTTTTATCAGATTCTAATTTATAATCCATTTTAATATGGTTTTTATAAACAATATTATTTATGGTCTGGGATCATCGTACTTTAAGCCAATTTGCATTATTGATTGATCTGCAATATTTATGACTGATATAAAACGTGCATCGACGACGTGATGCAAAAAATTAGTTTATAATATCTTGAGAAGAAAATCGATTATGAATTTATGTATCTTAAGCCTAAGGGCGTTAGTTTTCTTTTTGAGTAGTGATTGATAACCATTGAGTGAAATACTGAAAATATTGACAAGTTTTATTATTTTTGCATCATGAGGTAATGAGCTAGTTGCACGAACTTCCCGATATGTGTAAATAATCGATTATACAATAAATAATTATTTTTTATGTGATCTATCTGTCCAACAGTCTACTTGTTTATCTGTCCAAGTATTTGTCAGAAATATTCATTTCAGATCAAAATAGCTACAAAAATGTATTGCAGGTCCATGTAGAAAATAAATATATATTTATTTCATAATAAATTAGCCTAAAAACTTGTATAACATTTTTATAATTTTGTAATGGTATATTTTTCATTTACCTTTTTTATACCCAAAGGCTAATACTAGGGATGAAAGACGTTATATAAATGATTATGTATTTTTTGAGTGGCGCATCATTTATCTTTGTGGTTCAGCTGACGTCGAAAAAATGATTTCTATTGTAGATTAAAGAAAAGAATTTATAATGAAGCGCCTTGCTAACACGATCATGTATTTTTTGTATAAAATGATAATGCTAATGAAAATAATAAATGAACAATCTCTGTTGCTTGAAAAACATTTTTGTATAATTAAAAATGTATCACAAGCTTTTATTTTTAATATCAAATACTATAATTAATAGCTCAACTAATAAAACCACAAATAATAGTTAAAGGCATATATGGAATATTGCTTTAACTTTGTTAAGTTTAATTTCTCCCTAATTTTAATTTTGCATTCGAATGCTTGGTATGCACATATATTAAACATAAAATTATCTATTCATGATCTACCACATTAATCACTCTTTATTAATTTATTAATTAAAATAATTCTTCACATGCAAAATAATTGTGCGCGAAGATGCTTTAAAAAGCAATAAATTATATTGAGATGATGCTATTGAGATTAGATGATTAATATATGAGGAAACAATTTTACTCCGTGATAATAGTTTAAGCTCAACATTTATAGTTTTTGCACGCCTTGCTCATATGTAAGCGACGACACCGTACGGAAGAAAATATTTCTTGTAAAGAGGACGCGATTTGTCCAAGCGGAGAAAGAACAAATCGTTTCATCGACGCCAAGTACACGTTTTGCAAATTGTGTAATGTAATATAGTTTCCCGATTGAACACGACGTTGCCCATATAATTAATCATAGACAGATGCAAAATATTGTATTTAACTGTACATTTTATCGTAGAGCTGATGGGGTAATGCATTTGCTGCACCTATATGATATACTTGAAATAGCATTTCTACAAAAATAGATAGATAAAAGTGGAGGTGCATGGCATAGTGCCTAAAGGCAAATAGCTGGAACTTTTCGTACTGCAATTTTAAAATTTTTGATTTTATTTTTGAAAACGGAGTTCTTTTATAGGGAATATCGAAGCGTGTAATCGCCGCATAGTACTTTAACAGTTAAACTTCAATAATCTTGGTTCTGAACCCATAAAAATGTAAACAAAATTTATATTTATTATTAAAATCTCTTTACAATATTGGAAAATTTGATGTATATATCATCTAATGATCATTTTTACCGCCAAATTATTACCGTCAATTTGTTTATATTTTTTTATTGGATCTCCGAAACCGCTGTACCAGCCTACCCAAAAATTTAATCAGTTTTTCATAACTTCAAACAAGTGAATTGTTTTTTGAACCATTCAAATCGGACGCTGCGTTCACTCAACAACTAAATTGTCTTTATTGCGCTTTTTACCCCGTTTAATCGAAACGGATTGACCTGCTAAAAACTCATTTAAAAAAATTTAAATCGTAAAATTATAAGTGAAATCTTAAATGTAAAGACATGCAAAAAATTTTATTTTCATTACTCTAACTTACCATTACAGTAATGATTTCCAATCAAGACAATTTTTTTTATATAATCTTAGAACCAATTTAGGGAAACTTATTGCAGTAATTTATAATTGAAAGTTAATTATAATTTATTATGTAACATTAAAACAGTTGTTATTAATATAACAGTTAAAATGTTTGTTTTCAATATTGCGAATTATCCCGAATTATACCAGTTTAGGTGTATTATTTTATTGATTTTAAAATATACTCTAGCCCGTGGCTATAACAGAAACATATTATATTGTTGGGCGCCGATTAGCTCTTGTCTTCATCAACCAATTTCGTTAGATGTATAGTAATATCATAATAAATTCAAATTAAACACAATATTCTTCATGCAACATTTTATTTTCCCGTTCATTAATACTCTGAGATGCTATCGTCTATACGAAAATTACACAACTGCCCACGTTAAGTAACATTTCGGCTTTATATAACCTTTTATTTAGAAGAGGGGCTTTACTCCTTTTAGGATATGATAAACTAAATTTCATTTATATGTGTGAGTGCAAATTATGTGATTCCCCGATCGAAATTCATAGGAATTACTGAGTCGTATGCAGAGGATCACGAACGCATTAGGAAAAAGTTTATCGATCCTATTTTTGATTATAATACTTTTGTTACTCGATATGACTTAATACAATGTAACGATAGTTCTTGGGATGAATACAATGTTGAGAAACTGAGAATCGGATGTAATATATTAGTTATAGTTAAACCATTGGGTCGCAACAATATATCTAACACTTCTGCGGGTACACATGCGCTGCTGATCAGTCTCAATTTAACCACAATCTAAGTCTCAGTTATTCTAATCCAAGTCCCAATTATATTGAAAATTCTGTCTCTATCACATAAATATTTATTTTCGATAATTGTGTACGTTTGAAAGCATTTTTAATTATACTAATGACTCGCCCGTAGGTAAGCGGTTGAAAGCGACGGGACTTGTTTCAGAGGTCCTGGGTTCGATACCCGCTTCGAGCTGCCTGTTGTCAGGCAGCAGTGACAACGATTTTCACTTGGAAACATAGATAGCAATATGTTTTCAAGTGAAAATAGCCCTTGCCCTGCATTGCTGCACCAATAAAAAAGTCAGCCCTATTAGATTAATTCTAATAACAAATATCATCAAATATGGATGGATTAACCATTGGGTTATCATATAAAAAATACGAAGTGAGGAGAAGTTTCAGCCCAACAGCTTATAGGACGTAAGGTTCTGATTGCTGTTAATAAAAAATAAAAATAAAATTATACCAATATTATCACTGTCTGCAAATTGGCACAACAATATGCAATTAAAAATTATAAGCTTTTCAGTGTAAATTTTATCTCATTTTTTCTTATCAGGAAAAAGCTTTGTTGTTGTTTTTTTTTGTAACATTTTTTTTGCACGTATCAATTTTGTAAATAAGACATTATGAAGTCTCAGTTAACAAAAATAAATTACAGCAAAAAAAACACATAGGGGCCGTTCAAGTATTACGTAAGCTATAGGGGGGCGGGGGGTTTATTGATTTGCTTATTTTGCTTATTTTTAGTAAGAAATTTGCTTACTTTTGCTGACAAAGGGGAGGGGGAGTCAATAATTCTAATAAATCTGCTTACGTAATACTTGAACGATCCCATACTAGATCGAAATGATATTTTATATATTGGTTTGTTTCACGTGTTCATTTTAGTGTTTTCTATCATATGTTTTTTTCCATCCGCAGGGCACCAAACATGAGCCATGTACTGTCGTGTTTATGATTCTGTACTTCTTCTCGATGGCATCGTCCATATGGTGGGTGGTGCTGACCCTGACGTGGTTCTTAGCCGCCGGACTAAAGTGGGGCCACGAGGCGATCGAGGCTAACGCGCATTACTTTCATCTGGCCGCGTGGGCAGTACCCGCTGTCAAAACTATCTGCATACTTGCCCTCGGCAAAGTTGAAGGTCAGTGGAATGATTTTCATTATTTTCTTGTCTATTTTTTATCTGGTCTACGTGGTTAATTCGTGAAAATATTCGATGCCTTTCATGTGATTTTATTGCTACTTCAGTTCACGAATTTCAATCAACGCAAAATAGGGGATATCACTGGATAATCTCTAATATGGTCTTGCATATTTTTCTTCATAATTACTAAATGTTTTTGGTATTCTGCAAAACATTGTACTTGCATCTTGAGAAACCAAAATTACAAAATATGATGTCCATTGCAATTCTACATTTTTTAAATTCATGATTTTTAGTCAACAAAATTACTAAATGCCTCTCTAGGCAGTTTGTAAATACAGTAGAATCCGCTTAGTATGGCATCGAAAGGACGCAGAAATCTCGTCATACTAACCGGTCGTCATACAAAGCATACTGAAGAAAAACTTTTTAATATGTAAATATGTTATATGTTTCAGTAATTTAAAAGAAAAGCCTGTACATACATTTTAATTAAAAATAAAAATGACACATATTAAAATTTAATATAAAATAAAATTGTCATAGGGTAGGGCGGGGCACAAAGGTCCAATTTGACTTTCAGTAATTATACTGTCTAAACCCAATGAACGACCTTGCAACACAGAACACACATCAAACAAGCATCTATCGAACTATGTATTGAAAAAATTCACATAATTCCTAATTATATATATATATATATATATATATATATATATATTTATAAACAAATATTAATTTTTTTACTATTTTTTTTAATTTGGTATCTGATCCATTTTACGTCACATACGGAGTAAAGTGGAACAACCAGGGGGCAAACAGATGCAATTTCTTCTATTAAATTTTAAAGAGAGTTTACGCTACATTATTGAACCAATGCAAAATATTAATTCTGTCGGTATATTTGTTACAAAGATCATATAGTATATTACATTGATCTGCTATTGGTCAGAAATATTCATCAGACGAGCCGGAATAACAATTTATTTAATTTAATCTCTTGTAAAATTGCTTTTTTTAAAACTTAAATATTTTATTGCTTATACCTTTGCCAAAGTAAAGGTACAGCTGGTCCTTTTTATCCCACTCATGTGCTGCTTATCTTCTGATAGCAAAGTCATAGGAATAAAGGTGATGGCTGGTTATGAATTTATACATTTTTTGCCCTCTACTTTCAAATGTTTTTGTTAAAAAAAATCTAATTTTATTTGTTTTCGAGATATCCGTCGTGGACCATTAATAAAATTGGTCAAAACCCTACCCATGAACATACAAATATGATTTTATAATGTAAGTAATCAGTAATTTTTGATTGATTTCTTTACATAATTTTATTGTAAAAACAGTCCCTAGTGCTATTGTGCATAAAAGACATAGCAATTGCTTTCGTAGACTTGGCCACATCATGTAAAATCATGTCGGTCATTATAATTGGACATAATTTTTTGCAAAAATGGGTCATTATAAGCGACATGTCAATGTAAGCGATGTCAATATATCCGACTAGACAGCTGTTTTTTAAGGAATTTTATATGGAAACCAATCTTCCTAGTGCGATTACGTCATAATAAGCGGTTATCAATATGTCCGGCGTCATACTAATCGGGTTCTACTGTATAAGGAAATAAATCATGAAGTAGTATTTTAGAGATGAATCAACTCACAAAGAGATAAACAGGTGTATGTAAGATATTATTCCTGTGGTTTTCACATTACACAAAACCAGTGTAGAGTATTATATTTCGGTGTCGCTAAAATGCAAGTTAAAAGTTCAATGATCGGCAACGTTTTTGTTTAAGTCAAACATTCATTCCTAAAAGTCCTTTCCTATGCTCTGAAAAGAAAATTTAATTAAATGTGCTCGGTTGACGATTCGTTGCACATACGTCGCATGCATCGTGCGACGAATTCAGGCTATGATTAAACAAAAAATATGAATGATAATCGCGCAAACTGGTTCCTATATTGTATTTAGTGTCTGAGATGCAACGTAGAGGTTCTCAGATGGCGAGTACTCATGTATGTATTGTGATCCTGTATTCAGTATGTAATTATTAATTCACACATTCAAACGACTCAAAGCACACCATCTCACATCAAAGATACCGCGCTCAAAGGTTATAAAATCGTTCAACAAAATTGTTAACCGAAAATGTTATTTTTGGCATTTACTACTTGCATATATAGTTTTTTTCTTCAATACATATTTGTTTACTGAAATTAACAAATAATGAAATACATACGTATATTGCTTTTACCATAACGAATGCAAACACAAGTTATTTAATATATTCTTTTACTTTTGATCTTTAATGACTAATTAATTTGCTTTAATACATAAAGTCTATTGTTTATAGTTTATCTCAAACGGATGTCTTTAATTAAAAGTTTTGCGCTTAATTAATAGATTCTTCCCCGAAGGCATCGAGAATTATTTTTTTTTTTTTTATGAAACTATGTAATTTATGCTTCAGGCATATAGATTTCGTTTTCATGGATGAATAACTAAGAATAAAGTAACACATTATTTTTATTGGGCATTGGGCTAGATTATCTCGCTAATAAAAATCATAATTTAAATACTATTTTTTTGATAATCTATTCTCACGGAGAAAATTCCAAGAGATTAAAAGTATGGGTGTGTGATCATTTATAGACGTTGTTTTCTTTAAACGAGAAGTAGAAGAGGTATATTATTTTCGTGTAAACTGTAAATTTTCTTAAAAATGTATTTTGTGTTTCTGTATGTAGCTCATCTAAGCTAGTGTAACTACAACATTTGAATCATTTTTTATAACGGGTCATAATGTCATGTTTGCACCTTGTAGAGCTTTAGACAGTCTGCTGTATAGGATTACTCCTAATTATTAAGAGTCGCTTCGTAAATTCTAAACATAGATTGAATAGTATTTATTTCTATTGTGATTTATATTTAATTTAGGGGCTTCCTCGTAGGTAAGGGCGACTGCACCTGAATTATAGGTCCCAGGTTCGATCCCGCTTCCAGGAGTCTGATGTCAAGCATTAGTGACATCATATCAGTTTCACTTGGAAATATAAATAGCAATAGATAAGTTTTTGATATATTAGCTTACAATTTTTTTGTTACAACAGCTTACTGAATGAAACAAATCCATGCTCTAATTCATTAACTCTTCAGTTAATATTGAGAGTATTAGTATTAGTTCCTCGCGATATTTCCTCATTAGTAAAATTTCTCAAAAATTATGGTCCATCTTTGGCCGTTAATTATTAAAAGCTTTTTTTCGAACTCTGTTATTAACTGCGTGAGACTTTCCGTCTCGACAAGTACAGTGTCGACAAGGACACGAAACCCAACAACGTTGCTTCATTATATCACAGGTCTTGGCTCTAAACTTTTTATTTTTTTCTAAATTATATAATTATGATTCATTGCAAACTGTATTATATATATTACAGTACACAGGTGTAGCAAGCACGTTGACTCTTCGACACTTCAGGAATGACGTAGTTTAATCGGCGCTCTCATTTGTATTTGTTTTGTTTAGATACATGGCATAGCTATTCCTGTAACCAACGGTTTTATTCTTGAAAATTTCTTGGCACATGGTCGATTAGCTTTAATTTTTGACTGTAATTGTATTTTTAAATAATTTGATTAAAAAAATATGTTACTTTTTTTTAATTCGGGTTAAATGATCTTCCGACTACCTACCTTACCGAAGACGGGACAGGTTAACTGGTAGCTGACTGATTATGGTTAAGATAATACTTTAAAATCGACGTAAGTAAATCTCATAATTTCTATTTAATTGCTAGACAAAATTAAATATCATCATATGCTCATTTTAATATATTATAATGCACAAAATTAGTAGGTGAACTTGTCCTAATCAGTAACCATTCCTTTGAAAGGGACCTCTGTCAGGTTGCGCAAAAGGATGTTACATTTCCTATTGCTTGCTCTACATTATATATCATAAATTATATTTTTGAAAAATTCAGATTATTAAGTCAGATATATTGAAAAATATCGAATGATTAAGATATTGGCTTTTATGAACACCACGAAAAAGGTAAATATTACGGTTTGATTATTATAGCGATCGGAAGAAACAGGATTTTAAACCTGTTCGTTAACTATTGTACGAATGACTTTTTCGAAGTATGTTATATTTGTATGTTATAATATTATGGACAAAACGTTAATTTATAATCGAATTATAAGAATGTTATAGGACCTAGGTGAGATTTGAATTTTATTTGATTTTTGCAGAAAAATGAAAGTCATAGTAGAAATTTTCTAAGGATTAGTTTCTTACGATTTTTCCTAATTAGTAAAACTTTCTTGTAAATTTTTATAATAAAATATTCCAAAGGCATTTTAAACTTCAATTTGTAATACTGATTTCACAGATTTGTGAACTCAAATCAGATATACATTTTCTCCAACATTTATACTTCAATCTAAATACGTCATTAATACGAAGAAAGACTATAAGATTGCTGTCTTTAATCTAAACATTTTTTATTTTAGTTTGAAGGTAAAAGTAGTATGGTACGCCACAAAATTTGTTTTCTCGTAATTCCAGTTTTTTATATGAATAAACTCAATTTCTACTTCTCTACAAGTATGTATAAAGTTATCAACAGGTTTATTTTAATAACTAAAAAAATTCTATTTTAAAATTTGGCAAATGAAAGAGATCAAATGTGACTGAAATAAAAATGAGTTGATATGTAATAAAGGTATTTGTTTGTTAATATGATTTATGATTAAACTGTTGAACTAATATTTTTTATGTTGCCCTTCTTTTGAAATATTTGAGTTTCTCATGTTATGTGGGTGGCATGTTTACTTCTCATTGAGTAAACATGTATTACGTATTTGTTTACTGCATTTCAGTACTAAATCACGAAGAGAATGCGGGCGCGGAAGCTACATAAACAAGTGGCATTCAATTCTTTTGAAGATCTAAATTTAGTCCGTTATTACTTTTTTAACTTTGTACACG